TCTGAGGGAGCCTAACAGATGATTTAAGCAGCAAGAGGAATTGTGTAACTACGTTTGAGTCAGCAATGAATGATCAAAGCTGCTCACGCTCACTTTTGGCAGTCTAAATCCCCTGAGCGCAAATTCAAACAAAGCAGACCGTCACCTGTTCAGTTTAACCTTGAAGTGAAGGGGTCATCCTATCCTACTTTTTTAAACCATAAATTGAGACAGAGAGCAAGATTTAGCTTTTTTTTGTCAATTATCTAGTTTTGAGACTTTATGACAGTCAGTTATTTTGAGAATCAAATTAACTTCTGTTTCTAGTGTGATTTTCTAAAGCAGATGGAGGGTTTTCTTATTAAATTTTTTTCTGTTATTAATAATTAACTAAGAAAATTATTAGAATCATTATAAGAGAAGCATTTATGTCTGAGTTTCACTGTCACTTCTGAGCAAAATTCTGCATTCCGAAAAAATTCCTGATACTGAGATGGTTGGGTGGTAATGATCTGGTATGAATAAACTAGGTGACGGTAAGTGGATGAGTTTAATGGCTTGATTCCACACGCCCACAAAAATTCACAAAAATTTAAATTGTTATCTAAACAATAAGCCATATAGGCATAAATCATGTAAATCACCTCAAATTGAGGTATGGTAGCCAATCACTCCTCATAGAGTTTTTTCCTTGTGTGAACTCTAATTTGGTTGCCAAGTAACCCTTTACAATCTCCAGTGCTCAGAAGCTGCCAAAACAGCTAGAGAAAATTAAGAGCATACCCATGATTGGGATTGCACGCTCAAATCAGATTCTGCTTTTACGTATCCGTTCCTGTTGCCTCTCAAATGTTGACCTGCAGACTGAGTAGCGCTCAGAATTTGTTTTGTGCTCTCTCAAATCTTTTCTCCTCAATATACTTGCATAGTAGTGTTTGAGTGTGTAAGAGAGGGAGAGGGGCTTATTGCAAAGCTAACCAAGGACAGATTGAAAGTGTGGAGCAATTTGAGATGGTTGGATGCACAGAAACGTGATGGTAAAGACAGTGAACAATGAAAAGGAAGGAGGAACGGCAGAGGGATGACTCTCATCACACCATCACATGGGAAAAAGAGGAAAGGGGCCCAGGGTAGGAGGCCAAGGGCAAAATAACTGATTGGAGGAAATGAAGGGAGAGTGCAGGGCAGGAGGAAAAGGCCAAGAGACTAGAGAAGAAGAAAGTGGTAATGGAATGAAAAATGGAGGGCAACGGGGAAAGGAAAGAAGGGGAAATTGAGGGTAAGAGTATAGATGGGAATGGGAAGAGAGACAGAGGGGGAGGACAGCAAAGGAAGAGGGAGTGGAATGAAAAGATGGCAGGGAAAAAGAGAATAAAATGGTGGGAAGAACTTAAGGTAAATGACAAAAGGTTGATGAGGTGATATGACTTGTTTCTGATTGTTTAATGGCTAAGGGGTGGGTTCCAATCAGAGTTCTCAGCACGAAGGACAGGCTGCCTCAGAAGGAGGAGAGAGGGGAAAAAAAGGAATGCACTCACTCAACAAATACAAGGATAATATTCATGATTTTATGCGGTTATGTCTTCCAGCTCATATTCTCTCATCCATAAGTCATAAGTAAACTGGATGTAAACATGTAAAGACAGCTTCAACCACTCCAGCATCTATAATGTTCTCAGTCGGTCTTTCCTGTGTTGTTTTATTAAGATACAGCACAGTGGTAAACACACATACACAAATATACATATCTCTGTAATCTATTGCTACATGCACATAATCAAAATGCTTGGAAATAAAAACACACACACTCTTGCACATCTGTACACACACAGCTTCAGTAGCTGCAGGTGTATGCAGGCAGTAATACCCTCATTGATAATTCTATTCCATGGTATTAGCAGATGAGCAACACTGCAGCGTTCAGCTGTTTGAGGCTTGATGGCTGGATTAGCTCTGATCACACATAATGCTGACAGGCTTTACACGCAAAATCTGTTACAGCCACAAGAACCAAAACTATGCACAGGGGAGTTGAATTGATTTAATTACATTCCAGGACCTAAATTACTCACAGAAGCAGCAAAGTTTAGAATTTTCTTACGAGTGAATAAATAACAAATATCCATTGATCATTTTAATAATATTAAACTGCTGTGGTGCCCGAACTGACACAAGAGCTGCAAGACAAATACAGCCTCTTCATTCATTTTCAATGAGAACACTGTGTTCGCACAGCAGGAATCCCAATACAAAGGCCTCTGGCAAAACAAAATGCATGTTTGTCTGACAAAAAAGTTAATCATGTCTTAACCTTTGTTATCCAGCAACACATTCACACACAAATCAAATACATGCTAAAGCACGCTGCTGGTAGAATTATTTTTTTTAAATCACATTTTTAACATGCACATGTGGATACAGTGGAGCAGAAGAGTTTCCAGAGATTAAACACAAAGTCTTGGTATCTCATGAACCTTCAACCTGAACTGTTTGTATTTCATTTTCTCTTTGGTAACCCATAGTCACCCTGACACAAGCCCTTTTAGGTTTTAATGACGCAGTGCTGTTGTCAGTCTGAAGATAGCCTTGCATGTTTAAAGTGAAACAGAATTGTGGACGTACAATAGTCTTTCTGTTTCGATGTGACATTCAATGCCATGGTTCTTAAAGGTTCTATGTGGAGAAAACGTTGTACCATGAAACATAAGTGAATTTGTGAAGTCATTTTAGATTTAGATTTATAATGTAGTGCTGCTGAAATGTTTTATTTGGGTTCCAGTTGCTATTTGTACAATAGTTCAGCTGAAAGGTTGTACACTGTACTGAAGAGTTTCCCTGTAATGCTGTAAAATAAGATTCAGAGTCACTCTAAATGGTCATTTGCCGTGTTAAATATAACATTCAAAGGTATGGATGGAAAGCGGCAAGAAAATCTGTGCTACATTTTATTCACCCAAATAAAGGTGTGACAGATCGTAATGGCAGAATCCCTCTCCAAGCCATTAGAGCCACAGTATGTCTGGCTAACATTCACAAACATGGACACACAAATCCATGCTCACAGACATGCACCAGTACAGAGCCACATGTGCACAATCACACAGATACTGAAGTGTACACACACACACCCCCACACACGCCTGGTTTCCTACATGTTTGGACACACAGCCTGCGTGTGGATGGAGCCAGTGCTGGGTTAAGCTAATTACACAGCTGAACTATCGGCTGTGAGCCTCCGTTAGAGGGCTGGATCTGACATTCAGTAAATGCCAGCCAGTCACTGCACTATTAGCAGGGCTCTCTGTGTGTGTATATGTATAGGTGTGTGTGTGTGTGTGTGTGTGTGTATTTGTGTGTGTGTAAGAGAGAGAGAGAGAGAGTGTGTGCGGGCACTGACAGAGCGAGAGAGCAGAGGTAGGTGATGGCATCAGTTACATTGAAAATGTCAGTCTGAGTCTGGGATATTTTCGTTTGAACGTTCCACTTCGCAACCTCCTTATTTATGTGTGTGTGTGTGTGTGTGTGTATGTGGACAGAGGCAGAGAGAGAGAGAGAGAGAAAGATAGAGTGAGTGTAAATGTTTGTGTCTGTCTAAAGTTTGTTTAGGTCGTCCATGTGCCTCCAAGGTCCTATCACCAGTGAAGCGTGCTGTATTGAACCGCAGCCACTCCCCACTGTGTCCTCTGTGTGTTTGGCTACGCTTGGATTGCAGTGCTATTGGAGATGATTTAACACTTTAGAATTGATCCGCAAACAACGCATTCTGAAAAATAAGCCCCTCTTCTGCTTTCTGTCTCCTCCAGTACTTCTCACTCACTCACTCACTCTCTTTAAAAACAATGTAAACCCCTCATGCTTTTTTCTTTATACCCTTCCTCTATCTGTTTTCTTCTGTCTCTTTCCTCTGTTCTTTTTTCTCCTCCCTTGCAGTAAACTGGATGCCTTCATCTATGATGCTGCAGTGTTGAACTACATGGCTGGCAGAGATGAGGGATGTAAGCTGGTGACCATTGGCAGCGGGTAACTAAAGCTTCAAGCCTTTAAAAAGACACTTTTAGTGTGAATTCTCTTCACTTCATGGTCTGATCCCACCATTCTTTGGTCTTTATGAAAAGTTGTGTAAAGGGTTTTTAAATGTTTTCTTTATGGTTGCAATGCACAGATACAGGTACACATAAAACATACATAAAACGTCTTAATGATAATGTTCGGAAATAGTTTGACCACCCTAATGTTTTTACAGTAAATATGAAGCTACCATCGCTATCAGGTTAACTTAGCTCAGCACACACACTGAAAACAGAGGGAAACAGCTAGACTGGTTCTGTCCAAAGGTAACAAAATTCGCTCCTCTAAAGCTCACAAATTAACATGCTGTATCTCGTTTATTTAATCCGTACAAAAACCGAAAAGGAAAAAACAACAAATCTGCGTTTTTAGTTCCAAAGTATTTCTTTGTCTGGACCTGTTGCCCGGAAGCCAGTGGAGACTCCAGGAAGTTGCTGGTCCAAGGTACCGGTGTTAGAGTGCAGTTATGTGGTGTATGTGGTAACATTCAAATTCATTAAATATGTTAAATATTAAATTAATATTTAACATATTTCATCAGAATGAATATTATAATAAATATTTTGATTGAGAATTCTGATTAGATTATGAGAAATAATAAGCAGCAGTCACTGTACAAAAAGTGGATTAATATGAGCTACTTTTATATATGTATATATAATTATTATTTAATAGGTAAGTCTGTAACACTCACATGCCCACATGTACATTGAAAGTATTATTGGTCATTGTCAGTTGTTCTTCTCTCCATACTGGCCGCAAAGAGATCAATTTTTGAAATGTTTTCGATGTAAGTGATGGGGAACTAAATCCACAGTCCAGTCCTGTCTAAAGAAGACTTCTAAAGCTCAGCTGAAGATGATATGAGGCAGTTTGAGTAAGTCTTTTTAGCACAAAATTTCCAGCCCAGTGTTTCCTTGCTGAGCGGCTTTTGTCCTCTAACTCTTACATGCTTTAGAAAGGGTTCTCTTTGTGGTCAGTATGGAGCAGAGGAATGATTAAAGCGGCCAACTGTGTTTCAATGTACATGTACAGTACATGTCAGTGTTACTTTAGGATCGACCAAAAAATGCAAATCTACCCTTTAACGGCAGAGACTAGGACTTCTTGCCTTTGGGCCCGACTAAACGTTTTTGTTGACTGTTTGGATGTATATCTGTTTGACCTAAATTTCCACTTCATGACATTTCTATGCATCAATGTGCATGAGGTATCTCCTTAGATATGTTTTTAATCACAGTGACACCATCTAGAGAAATAAAGGTGAAACTATTTGTTTAAAGGATAAAATATGTGTTTTCTGTGTATGTGTGTTTGGATGTGCTTGTGCTCAGGTACATCTTTGCTACCACTGGTTACGGCATTGCTCTACAGAAAGGCTCCTACTGGAAACGACAGGTGGATCTGGCCATCCTGGCCATCATCGGAGATGGTGAGAAACACACTCGCACAACATTCTCGTATAGAAATACAAGTGCATGACGCTATCCATGAAGGATCTCTCTCTCTCTCTCTCTCTCTCTCTCTCTCTCTCTTTCCTACACACACATACACATACAAGTACATGTACACGTCTCAACGACTGCCTTGTCTGCTGACAACACAAAGGGAAAGCAGTGAAGTATAAATAGTCCTTTGATGTTATTCTGGACACAAAAGGCTGCTCTAAACAGAGGGCAGAGTGTGTAAGTTATTCTAATATATTCCTCTCTGCAGCACCAAATCGGGGTTTGTGTGTGTGTATAGGTGTGTGTGTGCATTACTCTATCTGAATCACCACATTCCTTTATTACAGTAGCCTCAGAAGTTCTTACATAAACAATTTCCTACTGCAAAACAGAGAGAAAGCAAGACAGCTCGAGCTTTTAGTGACGGATTCATTTACATTTTACATCGAAAGCATTTTTGTTTTCACAGCCACTCACATTAAGTGCACTGAAGTTGATTAAATGAACATTGGTGTCATAATAATCCTCTCTAACCGAATTTTATCAGGGCTGCAGAGCATGCAGGCCACACTCCATTATATTTCATACTTAGATAATTTTTGACAAAAATCATTCTTTTTGTTAACTTTGTTTTCTTCTCACTAGTATTAATCCCACTGAGTTGTTTTATTTTTGTAGATTTTTACTAGAGTCACTCAAAGCAGAAACTGTGTTGTCTTTGCACCATGCTAATAACTCCAATGTTATTCTTCTAAGAAAATTAGATAAAAGTCATAAAGGGAAAGAGAAAGGTGAGAAGAGAAGGCGGGATGAGAGATGGCAAGGTAAAAAGAGATTAAAGAACTGCAAAAAGGGTGTATGACAGAGGAAACAGATGGAGGGAGAAAGTGATGAGAGGGACGGAAAAACAGGGATAACGCGCGTCTGTGATGACCAAAGAGAGAGGTCAAAGAAAGGACGAGGCAAGGAGCACGGGATGAGAAGAAGACAAGGGAAGAGTGTTTGTCAGGTAGAGAGAGAGATTTGGAGTGAGGGGAGGGCAGGTCCTTGATAGATGACAGTGACTCTGTGTCTTGGCAGATGCTACTTGATCAGATAGACACAATGTGGGTGGAGAGCATATGGCTCCTCACGGACATTGAGAAGACACAGAAAATGTGTTCAGGGACGAGTGGAGGAAGGTGAAGAACAAGTAGACAAACATGCAGACAGACAGAGACAAAACAACCTGTCTGTTGACACATGGTCTGGTACATTTTGTATCAGAGGGTTAAACCTTTAATTTCAAACACACATATGATAAATACTTTGCCATTATATCCTGTTGTTGTATTCAGTAGATGTTTGCCTGTCCTCTCTCTACTTCTTTAAGCCTGGATTTTGTGTTTCTGGACAGAATTTCAAAAAGTTTTGTTAATGCAGTCACACATTTTAAAATAATGTTTTATTTTAGTCCTAGCTGCTTCAGACTAAACCATTTTTAAAAGGGCTGAAATTGTAGATGAAACTTGTAGATCCTTGTGTTCCTGTGTTCCAACTGACTGGTTACCAGATTATTGCTTGAGTCGTCTGACTGCTGAAAAGAGAACAAAATTTGAATTTCAGCAATACTTCACCCTGGAGTCAGAGCAACAGTGTAGGCAGTTGCAACTCCCCAGAGCTTTTCCCTTGAATGCACTTGAGTTAAAAACGAGATAAAGTGACCTGTTGATACCTAAAGATCTAATTTATCTTCATTCTCTTTTGCTGCCAATTCTAAGCATGCCATATTATAAAGATGGCTGCATCTAACAGAGAAAAAATCTCCTCAATTGTCCTAAAGGGTTAATGATGTCTTAGTGAGTCTGCACCCTTACGACATCTAGCTGAACACCACCATGATATTTGTCTTTCCTCCCTAGCAGCCTTAGTTATCCAGCCCTGAATGACACAGATTGGATTAGCCACGCGCCAAATGTCACAGAGGAAGCCAGAGAGGGAGGGGGGACTTAGGGAAGGGAACACAGAGTGAGGAATGAGAAAAGATAAGGTCTTTGTTGCTTTCTACCTTTCTTTCATTAACACTAAAGAAACAATCTCTTTGTCCTATCAGGCGACAGGAATGGGGGCTAGAAGCTCAGTAGATGGTGATGCCCAAGGGATATATTTTTAACAACAGCCCCTAAAAAAACTAAATATATTAGCATTCAAAATGTGTAGGTTATAGGTAGATATTAACTAAATTCATCCCATGAAAATGCCAATACATGAAAAATCTCAACAGACATTATCTTTAAAATACAGTTTAGAGCATCACTTCACATCTGTTTTAAGGTAATATTATTGACTAACTCTCTTTGCAGATGATATCACCGTTTATCATCAAATTCTTTGAAACAAAAATAAAAAATGCAAGTCCCTAAACTTTTACAGGATGTCTTTATGTACATACACAGTAACTTCAGTAGTAATTCTAAATGTAAATTTCTGTTTCATACAATGTAGTATGAGGGTATAAACTTTTATATTACGTCTACCCTTAAAACCACTGGTTTAAGGCTTTTTAAAACCCCAATGAGCCATTCATTAAAGGATTTGAGTCTCTCTGTCCTTTTGCCTTTCAGGTGAAATGGAGGAACTAGAAGCCCAGTGGCTGACCGGAATTTGCCACAACGAGAAGAACGAGGTCATGTCCAGTCAGCTGGATGTGGACAACATGGCTGGGGTCTTTTACATGCTGGCAACAGCCATGGGGCTTTCCCTTATCACCTTCGTCTCTGAGCATCTCTTCTACTGGAGGCTCAGATACTGTTTCACTGGGGTCTGCACCGGCAAGCCAGGTCTTCTTTTCTCCATCAGTCGGGTAAGTACCATTTCTGTATAGAAGGTCTATGTTTTTTGTGTGCAGGCATGTTCTACAAGCATTATTAAGCCGGTTTTGTGGTTTGGGAGAACAATATGGTACAGCTTTAAAAATAATGAATATTTTTAAGACACACTTTAAAAAAACGGTCTTGAATTTGGCCTAATAGTCAACTCACAGATGAGTGTGTGCATATATGAGTATGTGTGTGTGAATATCTGGGCCTGGGGTGGTGACTGGGTTAACAGTGGTCGTGTTCAAGGATATAAGGTGCAACAAAGCAGTGGAACTATACTGGGGGCTAATGCTTATTGGGGTCAGACCAGCCTGTTGTAGTTCTCTTTCTATCTGCAGAAAAAGAGAGCACAGCAAGTACGCGCACACACACATGCAGAGAGGGCTACGGCTAAACTAAGAAACTGAGTAAAACAAGGGGGAAGGAGGGAGGGCTGCACAAAGGAGGATAAGAGGGGAGGATGGGAATAAATACGGGAGGGGGGATCACGAGGCAGCCCTGAATATCGACAAAAATAGATCCAAATTTGCAGCCTGTTTTTGGGTGAAATCACGGCAGCCTACACTAAATCAATCTATTCTCTCTCATTCTGTTAAAAGGTCAGCATTCTCCCTTGTTGTGTGTGAGAACAGAAGACATGGACATGCATCCCTAAAAGCACTGCAGTGTCTCTGCACTATTTTTGAGGCAGAGTGTGATTCTGTTTTCAAAGTTAACAGAGGGGGGTAGTGAGGAGAGAAAAACTTTTAGAGAAGAGTGAAAAAGTGATGTTCTTGAAAAAGATGCTATTTCAAAGACATTCTCAAAAGTAATTTAGGGCAAAATACATCTTTAATGGCTTATCTTGCATTGATAAGCTCACAAAATGTGTGCTGAACGAAAAATCCCTTTGGATTTGTTGATAAATATCCTTAATGGATGCACTGGTGACCTTGGTGATGGTCTCAGTTAAGAAATCATTTGCTTTTGTTCTTTGAACCATAAATTAGGGGTACATTACATGTAGGCATTATAATGGCAGCTGTTTGGCTGTTAGTTCAAACTAAAGGAGCAGTTTTATTAACCTTCCTCTCTGTTGTAGTTATGGTAATTTCAGCTGTTTACTGTTGTTCCTTCTCAGAGAATGTGTCACCCCTGGAGTCCCCCTAAAGCAGGCTTGGGGCACAGGGTTATAAGATACATTGTTACCAGTTTTTAATATTTTCAAGTCATTGATTATTCAGTTTTTTTTATCTGGATGAATTCTATTAAAGCTAAGACAATGTTTTGCAAACAGTCGTACTGTAAAATTGATGGAACTGCATAAAGACTTGCATTACATGTTGTCTACATGCCCTTTTAAAAATATATCCTGGAATTTCATTATGATGCACAAGGTTTTGTGCTGGCAGTGGGTCTAGACACTGTATTTAGCCTGGTTGGAATATGTTTTAAAGCAATGATCCATGTGTTTTCTTTTATTTGTGTGTTTAGGATTAATTCTGTATCCTTTCTATTTAAGAACTGTCTAAATTATTATGTTGTGTTGCACCATCCTCTAAATCAATTCTGCATGTTTAGATGATTAATATGTTAAATAAAACAAATTTCCATCTTTACTTAGGGGTGCACTTAGAGTTTAATTGTAAACTGAACATTAGGTTTGTTTTAGAGAAAATTAAAGAAAGCCTAATTTAATCTGTTTCAGGTTTGTGTTAATGATGATAAAATACTTACAATTTAATACATTTCAATGAAACATACGGAGCACAAATATGTTTGGCCAATGTAGCTAAGTAATCAATATTCTGTTTGTCTCCCTTCATTTTTCTCTCAATCCCTCTTTATGTTTGATTCTCACTCTCTCATTCCATTTTATCTCTGCCCCTTTCCCTCTCCCACTCCTCTCTCCCTCTCATTTTCTCCTCTTTTTTATTTCACTTTTCCTTCTCCATTCCACTTGTTCATCCATATTTAGGGAATCTGGAGTTGCATCCATGGAGTCCATATTGACATGAAGAAAAAGACAGATCTGGACTTTAGCCCCCAAGACAAAATGCTTAAGCTCATTAAATCAGCCAAACAGATGACCAACATGTCTAACCTGAGTGGCTCCCGCATGAACTCACCCAAACGTGAGTTCATGCACTCAGCTGGGCCCATGATCATGGACATGATGGCAGAGAAGGGCAACTTCATCTATGCTGACAACCGAAGCTATGCTCCCAAAGACATGATCTATGGGGACACTGGTGACCTGCAGTCCTATCTTGCTAATCGCCACAAAGACCACCTTAACAACTACATCTTCCAGGGAGGCCAGCATCCTCTGACCCTGAATGATGCCAATCCCAACACAGTAGAGGTGGCAGTGAATGCTGATGCAGTCCAGACCAATGCCAAGCCTCCCCGGACCCTGTGGAAGAAGTCAGTGGACACACTTCGTTCTGTGCCACCTGGGCCCCCTCCAATGCCTGACATGCTGATGCCAGACCCACGAATGTCGATGAAGACACAGCGCTACCTCCCTGAGGACACAGCCCACTCTGACATCTCCGACTGTTCCAGCAGGGCAGCCTCCTACAAGGACCCAGAAAACAACAAGCACCTGAAGCCCAAGGACAACTTAAAAAAAAGATCGGTGACGTCAAAATACCCAAGGGACTGCAGTGAGGTGGAGCTGTCCTACTTAAAGACTAAGCAGGTCAGCAGTGGAACCAACCAAACCGGGAGAGGAGGAGGAGGAGTAGGAGGTGGAGGAGGAGGAGGAGGAGAGAAAATCTACACTATCGACTCAGACCGAGAACTGAGTCTACACTCAGACCCCATTCACTACCGAGAGAGTCGTGGCCTTGCTGCTGATGATTTGGATTATCCTGAAATCTACTCTGACCACAGTGACAACTATAGGAAGTGTGAGCAGCCCATCATTCATCTGAACTCCTCGCCTTTGCATCACACTGACTCTGATCTTCTACCAGATCCAACTTACTCTAAACACTACAACCTGAAAGAGAAAAACCTTTCCCTGTCCCCACACGAATCTATTGATCGCTACAAACAGACACACTGTCGTTCCTGCTTGTCCAAAGTGACCGCTGGCTACCCACCAGGAGGGGCGTACACCCCTGCTGTATCTGCCTCAGCTTCTGCCACACGCTCACCTTATAATCGGTGTGAAGCATGCCTTCACACAGCCAACCTGTATGACATTACTGAGGACCAGCTCCTTACAGACCCCTTGGTCAGTCCCACCCTGCACCACCAACAGCAGCAGCAACCAGATGAAATGTTTGGTCTGTATTGGCCACAGACAGATGGGCCGCATGTCCAAAAGAGAAACCGTTTAAGGCTGAGTCGTCAGCATTCCTTTGACAACATCATGTTAGAAAAGCCCAAGGATGTAGACCTGGGCCGGCCGGCACGCAGCGTCAGCCTCAAGGAGAAGGATCGCTTCCTGGACTCCACATCTGACTCGCACTACGCAAACCTCTTCGGCATGCGTCCCTACTCTGGCAGACTGTTTGGTACTGGCTCCAAATCCATGCTGTTTAACCACAACCTGGAGGAGAGCAAGAGGAGCAAGTCCCTGTACCCGGCCCATGGCTCGGAAAACCCTTTCCTCAGCCACTCGCTGAGGGATGACACCAGCAGCAGACTGGTCCATGGGCGTAGCTCCTCTGATATTTACAAACAGCTGGCGGTGGCCTCACCTGCAGCGGTCCTTGGAGCGCCCCCCATCAAAACACGCAACGATGCGAACAATCTCCGCTCATCTGTTAAATCCACCACTTCATACTGCTCACGGGACGGGCGGATATCCAATGACATGTACAATAAAGAGCATGTGATGCCTTACTCAGCCAATAAGACTAGTGCATACCCAGCCCCACGTGGCGTCCTAAACTCAGCCCAGTTCAGCAATAGACGGGTGTATAAAAAAATCCCCAGTCTGGAGTCAGATGTTTAGTTGATATAAGAAATAATGTGTTCTCTCCTCTTTACTCCTCTCTGGGTTTGTATTATAATTTATCAACTATGTTATCCATCAAGGGATGCCATAGCCACACTACGTTTTTCTTCTTCTCTTCAACATTGTAATCCTAAAGAACTCGTGCCCACTTGGGTATGACGGTACTACTACTACTACTCTCTTTGCAGATGATATCATCATTTTTCTCCTTTCTCTGCCATGTACCAGTTGGCTGCATGGCTGGCACGTTGCCATAAGGTATCCTGGTGTAAAGGGGAGGGGAATTATTAACCCCTTAGGTTTTAAAAAGGGGCAGGAAATGGCATAGTCCCACTAGTGGGACAGAGAAGGCCTAAGTTACAGTAAAGGAGGACTCCTACAGGCGTTGTTGAGAAAGAGGCAGTTGATTTGTGATTGAAAGGAAGTGGTGAGGAGGATGGGAGAATTTATATGAGAAGGGAATTAGAGGGGGAGAGAGAGGAGATAACCTCTCTTTCAACCCCTCCTCCTTCTCCCCTTTTTCCTTTCCACCTCCACTGTCAAGCTTGGGGCTCACTAGTTGAGGAGAAGAGGCCTGACAGGGAGACCAGATGGGCACGTTTGATGTCATGGCCAGACATGGAGGCGTCCCAGGAGAGCAAAGGCGTCACAGTGAGCTAGTCCAACGGTCTGCTGCTTGTTACTCTGACAAATATGGCCACCAAGACACCTGGCAGTGCAGGAGGAGAGAGAGGGAGAATGAGCGCCTAAATGGCACAGAGCGGAGCCTCCAGTAGTTATTGGCAGTAACGGTGTGCTGGGTCAAAATTTGGTAGGGACACGATAGTGATGATAAGCTGAGAGTAATGTAGGTGCTATAAAAGAATAATGTTTACAGACTGAAAAAAATAAAAACAGACTGACACAAAGACGATGGAAAAGGACAGACAAGCAGGGAAAGCCTGAGGCAATTGAAGGGCATTTCATTTGTGACGCTGCACATAGAAAAATAATTGCAAAGTATTGCTTTTTTATTCTATTAAACTATAAGATTTATTAGGGATTCTGGCATCCGGATCCCCCTATGTAGGATTTTAGTGTTTGCTTATTTGGTAGCACAATAGCCATTAGTTTTAAAACCTCTCTCCCACATTTGCTTTTGAAAAAGCATAGCTTTATGAAAAATACCATCAAGAGTAGTAGATTATTTTGCATGTGTTGATTTTTTTCAGTGTCCAAGAAGACAAAATACACACAAATACACCCTCAGACACATATTTTACATGTTTTTGAAAAGGGACTATGTCTTGCCAGATATTGTGGATGGATACTTGTACAATCGAAACCTTTATTCTTGACCTTTGTGCTTAGTAAATCAGTGTCATGCTGTGGCTCCCTCTGCAAAAGAGCAAGAAAATGGTGGAAGGGAAGAGAGCAAAGAGGAGAAAAACAAGGGAGAAAAGGATGAAATGACAACCGTGTCCACCACCACCATGTCTGAATTGGGGAGGGGCTGGGCACTGATGTGTTTTTGTCTTTTGACCTCCCTGCCACTGAGAAACAGGGTATTAGCTATAAAAAAAACACTGATGATTCCTTCCTTCTTTCCTCCTTTCTTCCTTTCTTCTTCCCTTCCTCGATCAACATGACACATCACTAGAGTGTTGGATAACTATAGAACTACTTCATTTTATTTTTTTATTTTTTTGGGGAAGTTGGTTGGTTGGTTGGTTGGTACAGAAGTAGCAGTACTATAGAGTAACTACTGTAACTGGGGATTGGGTGAACAATTATTGATCAATTACTGTTGATCCAAAATCAACCAGGGCTTTAGAGGATCTGAAGACTACTTGAGACAGATCACTTGTGTACCTTCATTGCATTGTTTGGGTGGGATGTGGGATGGGTCGGGCGGGTCAAGATGGAGGGGGATGGAGCCGAGGAGGCTCCACTGTTATGTGCTCGTCAATCATGTATCCATCTTAATGTGGAGTAAGTTGTGTGTGTGCATGGCAGAACTTGGGTAAGCTTGAAGTCTTAGAACATTTGGTTCCTAATCTGATTGTTTATGCATCTGTTTGTTTGCTTATTTGTTTGTTTGTTCTTTTTGATAACACTTAGCAGAAAAGACTTGCACATGCACATACTTCCTTGTACACGCGTGCCCACAAAACCACTTTTTTTGGTAGCATTATACTGTACAAATTGTACAGTTAAAAGATAATTCATGTATCCATCTTTACTGACTTGATTGATTTGCTTGATTGATTGGATCCACAAAGCCAAATTGTATCAAATAAAATACCTCAGGATGATTCTGTGCGTTTTGGGGGAGCTTCAACCGTAGCAAAAGAACATGATGCGGCGTAGATTTTTTGTAGAAAAAAATGAAAAAAAAAAAAAAAAAGTAAAACAACAACAAGATTTATAGCGGCCGCAATGCAGAATCAAACTTTTCTCCTTTTGATGTTTACCAGTCCTAGGTCTTCCAGTTCGGCTTTTTGCCCGAGCTCATGCAACCCAAGTAAAGAGAGAAGAAGAGGAAGAGAAGGAGGGAAAGGAGGGATGGCTGTAGGGGGCTTAGATCATTTTGCTCAGTGAGGGGTGTGTTGCGTGCAGCTCCACTCCTTGCAAAACTGGGCACCCTATACAGAATGGAGGATGTTACTTAAATGTCCAAAATCGGGAAAAGCTACCCTTATATGGAATACTCAAACAGGAATCTCTCTCTTTCCTCTCCATGGTTTTTAAAGGCAGTCGACTGCATTAGCCACTGTGTTTCAATTGAAGCTCCAACTTTAACAACCACAGTCATATCGCCCTTTTGTACTCTTGGAATACTGCAGTGAACCTCTCCTTGCTTCCCAATCAGCTTACCCAATGTTGACTGATGAGCAACATCTGTCTTTTTTTGCATCTTATCTGCATATTTATTATTATTATCATATTTATCTCCACATGCTGCTTGCGTGAGCTGACAAGTGAACAATATGCACATGTAAAAAATATCAAACGGCACCCTCGCATTTTATGAACTCATGATGATTTGTTCTATTTGTTCTACTTTTTACAGAACTGTCATGTAAACTGATGCTGTTTTATGTTCAGACACACACAAACACACGCACACAACACACACACACACTCAGACACACCCTTGTGATGACAACCCTGCTCTTTTTAATGACAAAAATGTATTTTAATTACATTTAATGATAAATAATGAGGTGATGGCATGCAACCCCAGATGTAACAATTTTAATGTTTTATGTTAATTTTTTTGTTAATTATTTATGTTATGATGTTATGATCACTAATGCGTTGTAACCAGGTGTGAGTATATACATATTTGGGAGAAAAAAATTACCTATGTTTAACACAATGAAGATGCTGCTGCTGTTTTGGGGGAGAAGGCGAGGACCTGACCCTAGTACAACTTCCTCATTGGCTGACGTGTCATTATCAGGCTACGTTTTGTCCAATGGGGTCGTGGGTCGGGGGTCAGGGCTTGGTACGGTATGGCGGGACATCCTTGCTCTTCCTCCAATGGCAGGTGAGAATTACTGTATCACCAGCTCTGCTTCTCTCTTCCCTCTCCTTCATGTGTAGTCAGGACTTCAACTGTAAAGAAGATAAAAGAAAAAAAGCAACCCTCTACTTTGAGTCTGCTATCCCTCCAAAGATACGAGACCTCTTTCTTTATGGTTTGCTGTAAGAATAGAGCTTTTTTTTAAACTAATACTTCCTCAAAGACTTTTAAGGAACTATTTTGAATATATTTAGAAACGACACCTGTAAACATCGCTTGTAAATTCATACTGGAATACATCATCATGGAGAATTATAAATGATAAAGAGTAAAAACAATATTTTTTGTGTGAATTTCACAGGAGCTCTTCTGTACAGTGGCACTGTTTCTCTCTCTCTCTCTCTCTCTCTTCTCTCTCTCTTCTCTCTCTCTCTCTCTCCCTCTCCCTCTCTCTCTGTAGAGCGACTAGAATAAAACTTCACCATTCACAAGGTTTGCTGTCCTGTCAAAATTCACAATATACACACCAGGCTCTATGTCTGCCTCACCATGAAAGTAACTACTTTTGTCAGTTGATGCTGACGGATTATTTTACAGGAAATGAGAAAAAGTGGTAGCTTATTTTCCATTGACTCCATTTATTTTTGCAGCTGAAGATATTGCTTTCACCTTTGTGTCTGTTCAAGAAATAGAAATAGGGCACATTCAGTAGGAAATATGAGGGTTTTATCATGAAGATCATAGGCTCTTAAGAAGGCCTAGTACCTCAATGTCACTAAATCCTACCTCTACGCACATGTGTGCACCTGTGTCTTTCAACCTAAAAAGAGTCAATTATGACTCATATTTAATTCATTTTGATGATGAAATTCTTGAACCCCTTTTTGTTACATGGATTGCTCCAAGTCTACTTCTCAGGTAAGACATGAAATTTCACAACTACTGCGACGCCAGAGAAGCCAGAATATGAACGAATACAGCTAATCTCAATATCATGTAATTTACGGTATTCATTTATTAATTTCCCACATACATTAAATAACTTATTTACTGCAACCCTATTACCAGACAAAAAGCTGGTGTTGGTCAATTCTGCAAAACCCTGAATTACGTTCAGCGACAACGTTTTTAGATGTTCAATGCCAATGTTTTTTTAATTCATTTCTACAACTATGGTTTCTTCTTTCTGGTATTTTTAAGGTAGGAAACATTATGATTATGTTTTTTTCTTTCTTTCTTTGTTTTTTTGCTTAAAGCCATGTAATGGTCTGTGACAGGACTCCTGCATGAAAGTTGGACACGCTACATGGCCATCCACCACCTGGACCTCCACAGGGCATACTACTTCCTGCTTTGGCAAAGAAAAAGGCATTGGATGTAAATAGTGTGCTGCAGAATAATACAATAAGAAGACTGTATATTTCCTGGTAATACTGGGATGTTTACAGACATTTGGGGAAATACTTTCACAGTCAGTGATGCCCATCCACCAGACAGATGTGAAAAATG